TAAAATGTCCAAAGTGGAAAAACATGTATAAGAACCTATAAAATGCTTTAAGTTCTTATATGGGTACCTAATTATAATAGCAAGACTAAAAGCTAAGCTTTTAAAAAACTCCAAGCTGGGGAAAGTCCCTCCAAAATACTGTTTTTAGTTTTGAGGTTTTATCACCTGCTTCAATTATTCTAGATTCCAACAAGAAATCTTTTAATGGTTTTATCTTTCAATAAAAATGAAGCACATCATACCACTTCTTTTGGGGGAGTAATGTTTGAATTCCTATTTTACTGGAATAAATAGGATACACCTAAAGGTCACTACACTATAGTGGAATTGATTGGCTAGTTCATGTAGAACTTCATCATACTGAAAATTAATTAAAATGAGCTGCTTTTTTGAGAGGAATGGGGGTCGGAACCAAGACTTGTGATTTCCCTAGATGTGAAAATCTTCTTTTCCAGTGCAGATTGGAAACTTGTCTATAACTTGGTAGAGCTAAGTGCTAAGTTAAGTGCTTGGGGCACTGAAAAGTGAAGTGATTTGATCTTGGTCACAGAGCCAATATTTCTGTACGGTAGGACTTGAACTTATGTCTCTATAACTAGCCACCTATCCATTAAGTCAGAGATGTCAAATATGCAGCCTACAACACTCTCAGGTGTGACCCGCACCAGATCAAAGTATAAATGGGAAATATTTACCAAAATAAAATAAAATACAATAAGACATAGATATTACATTTTAAAACCAAGTCGATACACAGACATCTGGAATCTTTATGTATGATTTAGCGGCCCCTGTTTCTATTTCAGCTTGACAAGACTCAACTATTGCCTCTTCTGTTGTCAGGGCACTGAGATCCTTACAATGACTTCAAAAAGTACATTATAATTCTATTTGGTCCTAATAGGTATGTGTACAAATTTTGTAAATGTCACACAACTTCCATTTTTAGTCAGAGCACACTTATCACTGCTTGGAAGAAACAAGTTACTTTGAGTTAACATTCACAGTTTACAAACTAACATAAGAGATGACATACTCTTTGTTTTCTTAAGATTATCTCTTAGATTAACCAACTCTCAATTATCTAAAGCCATGGAGATGATTGTGCAGGTAAATACAAAAATCCTTTTACGTTTGCCTTTGGAACATAATGACTTTCTTTAAACAACTTATTTAAAGCCTCAGTTTTCCTTAGATTATTAAAATTAGGCCATCAGCTGCTAGGTCCTAAGTCACTAACTTTGAAGTTAAGGAATCTGAGTTAGAATCTTGGTCCTTCCACTTCCTACCTGTGTAACTTGGTTAAATTACAATCTCTTAGGCTCTCAGTTTATTTATTTATCCAATAGAAGGACTGTACCGGATTATCTTTGCGGTCCCTTAGAGCTGTGGAACCTCTTGTCTTATATACATGCAACCCAGCGCTATGCCAGATGGCAGAAAAAAACTAATCTAAGAAAAAAATGACTGCAGAAAATTCACATGAAGATACTTGAGAGTTAACTATATAACCTCCTTTATTATAATATTACAGGTTATACTATTATTTATCATACATATGATAATATTATGATAAATAATTTTCCTTACATGTTTCAGAGGATAAAAGGCCAAAGAATGGGAGCAACGTCTGCTTATTTTGTCTTCCTCTAAAAGTTGAATTATTTGTGCCAAAAATAACAGTAATTTGGTAGTCAGCATTTAAAGTGTTCTGTCCCTAAGTTTTAACTTACTTACAGCAACATGGCTTTCTTAATGTACATTTCAAATTTAACTGGCTGAGGAAATTCACATAATTTTAACTTTTCCTTTGCAACAGATCCTCCAAGTGTTTTCAGCATGCCTGAGGATGACTTGAAAAGAATTTTTTGGGTGCTAACCCTGCCTATTGTTACATTACTTTTCCTAACTACACCAGACTGCAGAAGAAAGTTTTGGAAAAACTGCTTCATGATAACCTTTTTCATGGCTGCAATATGGATTTCTGCATTTACTTATGTTGTTGTTTGGATGGTCACAATAACTGGTATGTATCCTCAGTATGCAATTCAGACTTGAACATTAAAGCTGAAAGAGATTTTACAGTTTATCCCTGATCATTTACAGATGAGGACACTGAAACCCAGAACACTTAGATTGGGTGATTTATCCAAGGCTATCCAGGTCTGCTAAGTTTTAGCTCCATTTAATGTAAGAACAAAGACTTTACGTTCATTAAAGGTAGTTCAGTGAAGTGTTTACTACTTCAGCAAAGATAAAGTTTAATGTTATTTACTAGGATTTATGACCAAATGTTAATAACAATGATACTATCCAAGTACTGCCATCTCACTGTAACAGTCTGTAGGGTTCTACCCCGTAGACCCACTTTAAGATATGGCCTGTTGCTCCAGTAACTCAATTCTCTTGGATAGGGTCCAAAACAGACTCTCTATGCCGAGTTCCTTTTCAACACTATTATTAATGAAAGGGCAGTATAATGGGAAATGTTATCTTTCTCAAAGATTACATAGGGTTTAGGCCAGTGTATTAGTTCACAGGAAGAATTTTAGAATTGCCAGCATTCAGGGCAACAGAATTTATCAAATATGCCATATCAGAGTCCCCAAGCTCACAAACATAAGAACTAAGAGTAGCTTTACCAAAATACAAAAAGGAACATGTAAAAGATGGAGATGAGAAATGAGTGAATAGTAACAAATTGATTCCAACATAAACATATGAGCTTCCAATAAACAAACTGGATTTCTAGTTAAACTGTTTTAATTGGCATCATACACAAGAAAAAAATGGTTCTAAAGCAAGTTTTCATTCAAAGTAACACAAAAGAAGCAATTCTTACAGTAACTACTTCCCTCCAGTTCCTTTCCTAGAACTATTACATCTCTGAAAAACTAAGCATCAACTAACATCAAAATTTACAGGAATATAAAAAAATTTGGACCTCGCATTAGGAAGACTTTAATAGAGCCCTATTTCTCTTCTCTGTTGGGGAGTTTACATGCTTTCCCAAAGAGTGCATTACATAGAGTTCATTATTTAATATGACTTTTTTTAGAAATTCACTTTAAAATTGCTTAAATAACAAAAGAATTATATTTGTATAGCTTAGAAACAACTATCAAGAATTCTTGACTAAAACTACAATGATACCAAAATTATCTAAAGAAAAAAAAGTGGCTTTCACAGGATGTTTATTTTTAAAGCCTAGAGCCCCAGATTAAAATAAAGGTCTCTAATAATGAATGCCATCCACAACTTCTGTCAGGGCACAAGAAAAGTGAATCACTCAGTAGTAGAATTTCAGCTGATAAACATCCTAAACAATGCCATCTAAAAGTCCATAAAATTTCCAATTTCTCTGTTAAATAGTACTTGCTGAAAATATTGACTGAGCACAAAGTAGTGTTGTAACTGAAATAGTTTTGTCCAGGGAAAAAAGCTTCTTTACAAAATAGTTAATGAACAAACTGGTGACTAAAACCACCATAAGTTTTTTCACTTATCAATATTTTGTCATCCATAGGAGAAACACTGGAAATTCCAGATACAGTAATGGGCCTTACGTTATTAGCAGCAGGAACGAGCATACCAGACACTGTTGCAAGTGTGTTGGTTGCAAGAAAAGGTAAGAACTGGTTCAGGTTTTTATGCCCAATCCTTAAACTGGCTCACATACACAGGGAAAAGACATTTGTAAAAATAGTTCACTTCCTCAATATACTTCACTGAACAAAGCAAATCAAGAGAAAGAAAAGTGACAATTTTAGCAGCTTAAGTTCACTAAACCTGAACTGTAAAGAATTAAATTCACCTGAAAAACTCATTAAAGCTTAAACATGTTAAATTCAAATTAAAAACAAGTAATCAATATAGTCTACGAAAATGGTTTAATAAATAAAGATAATTACTATTTGATAAATAAATGTTAAGTCTTTAAATACTAACTAAAAACAAATGAGCAAATACAAATTCAGTAAGTTTTCCAAAACAGAAAAAAAAGGTATCCAGTGTAACTGATGAAGCAGCTTATTAATAAAATGTTAACTTAATGTGCACATTTCAACAATGTGCTCTTTTCTTTTGCAGGTAGAGGAGATATGGCTATGTCTAACATTATAGGATCCAATGTGTTTGATGTGTTGTGTTTAGGTGCTCCGTGGTTTATTCAAACTGCATTCACAGATACATCGGCTCCTGTCAAAGTTAACAGCAGTGGACTGACATACACAGCTATTTCTCTCATTCTTTCCATTGTTTTTCTTTTTCTAGCTGTTCACTTGAATGGCTGGAAACTAGACAAGAAGTTGGGGATAGTTTGTCTAGTAATGTACTTGGTGCTTGCTACATTATCAGTTCTTTATGAACTTGGAATTATAGGAAACAATAAAATAAGGGGTTGTGGAGGCTGATCTTTACTAGTGTTACAGGGACAAAATGACCTATTTGGGATGGAGGTGTAAGGGGTGGGGAGCAGGAAGTAGCTATTTCATTTAATCAAATAAAAAACATCCCAAACTCCCTCTAGGCTGAAAACCTTATTTACAATAATGCTGCACCATGGCATAAAACTAATTTTAAACAAACAAAATCACAACCTAATTTATCTGAGCCCTTTCTTTTCAAGTTAAAGTGTGACTACAATGCATATAGAAAACTGAAGTTCTGGAAAAACATCTACTTTTTACATTACAATAAAGTAGGTATAAGCTGGGGAAATTTGAACACTAAACAAATCCCACTATGCAGTACTGAAAGTAACAATGGGGAAATGGCTTATCTCGTTAAAAACAGTATAACCATTCATTTAAACTGAATGACCAGAGCCACTGTCTTTAAAAACTAAAACTCAAGTTTGTTAGCAAGAATTACAGTATATTTTAACACTATACTGTTAAAGGCTGGTGGGATTTAAAAGTTCATTTTTACAGCTTCTTTAAGCATACAATGTTACTAAAATGATTTTTTACTAGGCTAGAGAAGCTAAACATATGTAGGAATGTTCTGAATGTAGTTTGAAATTATGCATTACGATCCAGGCGTACGTCAATTTCTCTGCCACTGATTTTTATGCCATTCATTATTCTACAGGCCTTTTCAGCTGATTCTGGTGAGTCAAATCTGACTGTTCCACAGCCTTTTGACTTTCCATTCTCCATTTTTATTTCAGCAAACATTACATGACCTGTGAAAGCAAAAATATACAATTACTAGAGTCAATTAAAAAGGGCTTTATTTCATTTATATGGGTTTGAACACCATCATAAGTAAATTTAGTACATTTAACACTCGTGATTTTTAAACAACAGTCCAAGAAAGCAATACTTGGAGAAGTTTTTATATTTAAACAAGGATTATTCACCTGAGGCTAGGAACTTTTAAAACTATTCTAATAACTCTATTTCAATATAATTGATTTCCTTTGTAATCCTATGTATTTAATTTTATGCATTTAAAAACATTATTATGAGAAGGGGTCCATAGGTTTCACCACTGCCAAAGGAGTCCATGAACCTTTGCTTTAAAATGAGGTGAAACAAGTATAAAATTATACATATACTGCTAGACAATACACAATTAGATTCAGAGTCAATTTGCTTAGTTAGGGCTTAGGTACTCTAAATTTATTGGGGGGTTTTTGGGTTTTTTTGTTTTATTTTTATTTTATTTTATTTTAGGCAATTGGGGTTAGTGACTTGCCCAAGGTCACACAGCTACTAAGTGTCAAGTGTTTGGTCTAAGGCTGGATTTGAACTCCGGTCCTCCTGACTTCAGAACCAGTGCTCTATCCACTGCGCCACCTAGCTGCCCCTAAATTTGTTGTTTTGATATTAAGCCACTAAAAAGACTTTTTAGGTCAATTTCTTAAAGAATCAGATTGCCCAGAAATCTATTGCACAGAACTCCACCAAAACCTTCTAGACCAGAAAATGTATTTAAACAAATATACTGCTGGATTAAATTCTCCCCTGTTTGTATTCTCAAATTCTACTCCCCTCAATTGGAAGTAAAAACACAGAAATATAATCATTCCCAGGCTCCTTTTGCCATCAGTAGGAGGTACTATAGGTGCTACAGCAATTTCCTCTACTCTCAAAAAACTCCAGATTGAGAATGTGGTGATAGGACCTGATAGTGCCCAATATGAAACTGAATCAGAGAGGGAATATGACCCTAGGCTTAGCATTTAGGAAAGGCAGAGAAAGTAGCAGCAGTATCGAGAGGAGAAAGAGTGGGGGTGGGGGGCACCCTGGACCTACTCCTGCCTATTCTGGGACAGTAGTAGAAATTGCTGAGGCTCTTCAGAGAGAAAAAAGACAGGTATTTGAGGTAAATTATTAAAACCCAAAAAGGTTACTAACTTATATGTATAACTATTCATGATCCCTCTCTCTTCCTGATGATGAAACCCTTCAGGTTCAAATTTTAAAATATAAATTAAGATAACAGGGTTCAAAAAGTTTATTTTCCAGGTCACCAATAATAGATTTTATTCTAGCAACTAGATAGGAGAGCAAGATATTCGCTTTGTAACACACTGAAATAATAAGTCCTATACAATGATTATGGAATCCCTTGTTATTCCTAAAACCTGGCTTGTTCAAACTTTATATTTTCAAAGATCTATAAAGGTCTTTTAATTTCTTTAAAGCCATGACAAGAACTATGTTGATTTTTTTCCTTATCTATAGTTCTCTTTTCTTGAATCTACCACTTTGTGCTCTCCCTTGTCTCAACTATCAGTCAGAAACTTGTCTCTTTTGCAGATCTGCCCTCTAGTAACAAACTGGTGTGAGAACACAGGTGCCATAATCAGTTAGACCCAGAGTCTAAGTCTAGTTGAAGTAGTTTTCAACTCAAGACAGGTTGTGTTCCAAAAGTGTTTATGAAATATGGTCATCAAAGAACACAATTTCCTAAATAAATAATTTTATAAATAGTAGGTAACAACTCAATCAGTAAGTATTATCTATTATGGAAAGGTGCAAGACTGGGGCCTAGGAGAGATGATTTTTTTTGAAAATTTTATTTTCAAATAAAGGTGATAAGGTAGATTTGGGAGTCATCTGTATATGAATCCATGGAAGCTGATAAGAATGCTGAAAAATAATTATAGGGAAAAGAGAGGGATGCAACACAGTGCTAGGGTTCACCTACATACATGGGGCACATCCTCCCTAATGAACCTGCAAAGGAGAAAGAGAAGAATCAGCCCAGCAGGTAAGAAGAGAACCATTATAGAACAGTGTCAAAAAAGAAAAAAAAAGGTGGTGAAAGTATCCAGAAGGAGGGTGCTCAACAGTATCAAACATAGGAAAGGTCAAGATGGATAAGAAGTGAGAAAAAGAATAATACAAATATCATTGTTGGTTTTTCAAAAAGAATAATGTCAATGAAGTGGTAAAGGTTTGATAAGTGAGTGGGAGCTGAGGAAGCGGAAGTAGCAAGAATATACAAGTTTTTCTATTAGTTTGGCTGTGAAAAAAAGAGACAAAATATAGGATGACAGGTTGAGGAGATGATACAGTCAAGTGAAGGTTTTGTTTTTGTTATTTTTAAAGAATGAAGGAGGTCTGCATAGGTTTCAAATATCCAGGAAGGAGTCAGTGGTTAATGTGAAGTTGAAAGGATCCTAAACTCCAGAACTTTGGGAATAGCAATGTCTACCAAAATACCCAGAGATATCAATGCCCAACCCCCAAAGATATCAACGAGGGGAGAAATCATTGTGGAGAGGGAACCCACCTCCTTAATAAACACCAGCAACAAGAGCTGACCAATTGCCACCAACAGGTAGCTGGGCATAGGAACCCTGGAAATGGCAGCACCATCTCCTCCTCCCACAAATTTTCTCTAAGCATTTCTCTCATTTCTCATATCTTTCTTGCTCCTTGTCTCAGATTAGGATCAAAAATTTAAGGTGAGTCAAGAGCACAGACTCCCAGGCCCTGGCTTCATACTATGTCACAACTCCAACAAAACAGATACAGAACATTTATTAAGTGCTTATCAGATGCCAGGAACTGTGCCAAACAATGGTGATATAAATGATGAATAAAAGACAACCCTTGCCTTCAAGCAACTTACTTTCTAATGAAGGAAGGCACAAAGGAGAGCTAGAGGAAGGGATAGCATTCATGCAGTAGCATGGTGTGGAGGACAGGAAATGCCATGAAGTTCAGATTCTTACAAGATAAGACAAAAAAACCTAACCTACTAGAGTTGGGAGAACCAGGGCTGTAGTCTAAGGTTAGGGGAGGTGGACAGAAGAGAAGAGATATAAGGATGATGGTCACAGCATAGGCAGCATGGTGAAGAGATGACTGCAACTAGCAAACACTTAAAGCCTCTCCCATCAACAGATTCTAAATCCTCACTCAAGGTCAAAGTTGTGATTTGTGGTTAGAGAATGCAGTAGCAGGGTCCGGAGTATCCTCCATGTGCCAGCCTGCTCCAAATTCTAAAAATGTCCCATTTTTTCCCATCTTCTTTATTTGGCTCATGCTATGCCCTCTATTTGGGACGTCTCCCCATTCAGCCTATTTTCACCTATAAATCCCACTTATCCATCCCAAATGCCATGTCTTTCCTTTATAAAGACTTCTTCCTCAGCAACTTGAATTTTGTACCAATTATTTTTGTCATCCACACCATACTACTCCATAAGCTTCATGAAAGTAAGGGCTAGTTAACACTCCCTGATGCCTCAAACATACACTGGGAGATGCTGAACTCAAAGTAGAGGGCAAATGTTTTCCTATTGATATTTAGAAAAAAAATGTACATTTCTTTTTTTTTTTAAGGCAATTGGGGTTAAATGACTTGCCCAGGGTCACATAGCTAGTAAGTGTTAAGTGGATGGTCTGAGGCTGGATTTGAACTCAGGTCCTCCTGACTTCAGGGCCGGTGCTCTATCCACTGCGCCACCTAGCTGCCCCCCAAAAAATATACAATTCACATTACTAAGAACTCTGGTTGACTTTTTTGGGTATATTTTAAAGCTTGTGCCTTTTTGTCAAAGAATTAAAATAACTACTTATTTTGTGAGATTTCGAATAGGAAAAATAAGACAATTAAAATAATTCCTATTACCAATATGAATGAAATGTGTCACTAAGTATTATTAAAAGACATTTGTGCGCATAACTGTAACACAAACTAATAATATAGATTACATATGTTTATGTTAATATTAATGCTTAAAAATAAAAAAGTTTTCTATGCTTTTATCTAAAAGATGGACCAATATGTTAAAGTATTTATTAAGCTATCTGTACCTCAACCAAACACACTAGAGAGGGTATATGAGTAACAGAACTTAGTGGGTAGTAATGATGAGCACTTGGAAGAATGCGAAGTCGTAACAAATAGCAGCTATGGCATGCTTTCTCATTTTTAATTCTTAACATAGTTTCTGACACTTTTTATCTATCACAGACTCCTGCACTTCTGAATATATGCTATATTTCTCCCCTCCCCACTTTTTTCCTACTTTTCCAAAAAAGAAGTGATATTTATGTTTTTCTACCTAGTATAATATCTGTAAGAAAAGTGAATCCATATTTTTATGTAATGTAGAAAAATGCAACCTGACATTATTAGTTAATTTGAAATAAATATACTTTTCTTAATGAAAGACCTAAAAGTTTCCAAATAGGCACCAATTGCATAAAATAATAGCATCTGATCAAAACCTACCTTGCATGACAGAAAATCTTTTTAACTCTTTTAATATCAAGTATACTAGGCAGAGAATTCTGAAAAATAAATACCATTCCAACTTATGCTAATTGGCTAAAGAGGAAATATTTGAATAAACAATTCCACAAGTTTTATTCAGCTTGGTAGGTCAGTGGATGGAGTGCTGGGCATGGAGTCAGGAAGACCTGAGTTCAAATGAGGCCTCAGACACTTACTAGCTGTGTTACACTGGACAAGTCACTTAACCTGTCTGCCTTAATCCACTGGAGAATGAAACGGCATCTTTGCCAAGAAAACCCCATGTCAGTACTGGTGTGACATGGTCTACAGAGTAACAAAGAGTCAGACATGACTTAACATCAACAGTAATATGACTAATTATTTAGTAACACAAGAGATTATTTAGTAACATCACAGAATTTCCACATTCATGCCTGCATTTTCTTTCAAAGTTATCTTGGGAGATACAGTTAATTCTAAATA